GCCTTAGAGGGGGGGTAGTGTTACAATAACACATTTTTGGACCTTTCCTTGTATTTTCATTCTCCGCTTTAACCTTTACTGTAGTTCTCACACTCTGTGCCATGTGGCACTCTCCCTTTGTTCAAACTCCACCTTCTCGCGCCACACTGCCTTTCTTCTTATTTTAGATACAACTCTCTCACGCAGCAGAGCTAGTCACACGGGCTAGGCCCTATGACATCATCAGCCACTGCCTCTAGCAACTGTATAGTACATATGTACAAACAAACCTGTAACAGTATATATACCCCAATAGATCTAGGAGAGTCCTCAGTGAGTCCTCCTGTTGTTTACCCACAACTAACTTGGTCCTATCCTAAGGGTAACCACTCCCCTCACTACCTTTATAGTTGCTTCTAGTTGTGCGCCAGAGTATACAAACTCTAGGTTGTTACAATGTAGAGTTGACTTAGACGCTGGCATAGTAATCCCTTTATTTCCCAACATATCAATCCAGTTCTACAACAAACCATGCATGAATATGCAACAGTCCGCAGAGTCCATGTTTGTGGATACATAGAGTCCGCATTTGTGGACACCTAGAGTCTGTGTTTGCGGACATATAGGGTCCGCACTTTTCGGACTTTGGACCCATCGGACGAGGAGCTAACTCAGCACTCCATGCACGTGCAAGACTCCACATGGACTCCAGAGCATTACAACTGTCCACAGATCAACTACCCCTTTCCTTTTATGAAATATAGGAGTTGTCCCTCATGGTATGGAACTGTCTGGACATCAGACTAGCAGGATATGACCCACTTTTTCTTACATTTTCACATGGACACTTTCTAATGTTTATCTTTCGTTTCTCCCATTGGTTCTCATATGTTTTACACTATTTTTGCTATTTCCTTTTTGGTACTGCTATAAAACTGTACTTCCAAAAGGAAGGAATACTATCTTTTGATCCCCCATATACTCAGAAATTTGTCTGAATAAGTCGCCATAGTCGCTTCAGAATTGTTGTAGACGTCCCACAGCCATATAACCAAAATTTCCCACAAAGTGCTGAGCTTGTTAGGACATTTTGCTCGTATAGACCCAAAATGTGGACTCTCAGGAGTCATTCCAGTGTCGTATTCTCCATTCTATATTCATCCCCAGCTCATATTATCACTCCCACACTTGTATTATCGCCTTTCCAGCAAGATCACAACTTGCTGTGACGTATCCGCTCCATTTAAACTCAAAAGTGCGGACTCTGCAAACTGACCTACGGACTCATCTGCGGACCCACTGTCATGCACCAAAGTTGATTGGTAGCATGGACAGGTGTCAAGAATGAAGTGAATATTCAAAAAGACTCGCCTTTGCACCACACAGGCACAGTGCCACATGGAATAGTAATTAATATTGCCTTTTTCGAACTTGTGGCTGATCAGCACCACCTCTATTAGGCAATCCAGTCACATTCACCTTTGCTTTTCCATTCGGTACTTTCGGCATTTCGGCATTTCGGCATATTTTTGCGTCGCCACTGGCTACACATTGCGCCCTCGCTTTTGTCGCCCTCCCTTACCTTTTTTTCTTTAATCAGTCCCACCATAGGACCCTTACTCTCTTTTTTATTCTCACCCAACAGTCACTTCTGGATCCCTATTCTGGTTCACCTCCTTGTCATTCTCCACCCTCCTCCTCCTCATCTTCTTTGCTCCCCCACCATATCTGATGTCACCACTTTCTATCCATTTCCGTCACTAATCCATCAACCACCATGTGCCACTGCTGATATCAGCAAAGCCCCGGTGGCCAGTCCAAATTGGGCAACAGGTCCATCTTCATGACATCAATCTTCCATTGTATACCATCAAATCATTGGTTGTTTGTCTCGCCTGGTTGGAGTGTGGGTGGGTAGTTTTTGAGCTGGAGAAGGTTCATCCCCTTATGTTGCCTATGTGCATTGCTGTCCCATTCACTTGGGTACACTTATATTTCATCCATCGTCTTCGCTACAGCTACAGTTACCACACGCTGCCTGGGACTCACTTGTTCCAAATTGGAACTACTCCCCTCCCTCCCTCGTTTGACCGGGTGGTCCAATAAAACCAGTTCATTGGTAAGGCCATGAAACCGTCGGATTTGGACTAGGTGGTGGACCGGTGGCTCCAGTTTCTTTTTTTTTCAGCAGAACATTCATTTACAGTGCGATTATTTTTGATTTTTGAATCATTTTTATGGACACATATTTTTTTAGAATGCCTGACTAACAATAAAGGAACTGTGTTGATACTGATATCGTTTTTCTTTATCCTTTTTTTTTGCTGCATCTTCCCATGACTTTATGATTTTCTTGCTCTCTTTCTGTTTTTGGACTTTATTTTATGGCTGTACAAACCTGTGGCATTACTTACACAGCATTTATTGTTCTATCTCTTTCTTTTCCTTATTTTGACAATCTTATCCTGTACTACCTACGCAGGATTCGTCAGCATACATTCCTTCATTCATGTTTTTTCTCATTTTTTTTGCATAGCTATACTGTGCATAGCCTCCCTTTCTTTTACTATATAAACCCCTGTATTCTACCTTGTAAAAACAACAAGTACTCCAATCCAGACTTCTTCTCTAATCTCAAGTTCACTACTCTCTGCTACTTGTGATCCAGTGTGGTCACAACACTTCCCACTGCTACTACTGTTAACTGCTGTCATTGTCACTCGTCACTTCCAAAGTCATTATTATCCCTTTCAATTAGAGTCCTTCTGAGCACCATAGTCTGTGCGTCAGGAGCCTGCTATCACTGGGAACCTCGTCACCTCGTCATCCTCGTCATTCTCAAACCTACCTTGTGCTACAATTAGCAAGGTAGTGCTCATCTATACTCGTCACTAAGCACCTATCTTCTATAAATTCAACTATCCCTCCTCCTCAAAACCCACACCCATACATCCTTGGGTTTGACTTTGAAGGATCGTCATACGTACCACCCCACAAACAACCAGACCACTCCACTGTTCTAAGAGGCAAAGCCCATACACAAGTTCTGTGGAATCTGGGAGGATTGTGTGCTAGTATGTTTTGTGTGTGGTTTTCTAACTACAGTTCTCATTGACACCACACCATTGTAGTCTTCAGCACTTTCTTCTGAATCCCTTGGTTGATCCCTGCGGGTTGAATAATGCATAGGTGTTTGGATGTAAGGAATATACTCAGTTCTCTCCCAGACGCCACCAGCATCTTACAATAATTGCTATCATTGTTAAAACTCTGTTGTGTCACCTCGTGGTTGAAGTAGGCATCCAAATCAGACAATGAAAGTACTGACTCAGATGGGCTATCAGGTGAGTCAGACAGCGAGAGTACTGACTTGGATGGCCTATCAGGCAAGCCAATTTCTGGAGAATTAGATGTGGATGTCAACCTGAGTAACATGCTAGTAGTAGCTGTGTAACACTGTTGTAATAAGTAGCTTACTGTACTATTCACTTACCAGCACCTATATTATACTATGATAGCACTATTTGAGTTCAAACCTAGTACACTGGCACGAGTCCATGATGAGTAAGAGTGAGCCCAAACTTCTACCCAAAGCAAACTGGAACACTCCACTGTGACTGGCGGTGGCAAATTGGTATATTGTGTTTTGGATTTTGGAGTGTGATCACGGCAACCTTCATAATTTTGTGGACCTAATGAGTCATTGTAAAGACCATATTCCACCTATATGCATCATCTGAATCCGGCCCTACTGTTGTACCACCAGTACCAAAGTTTACCTGGAAATAATGTTAGATTAGTGTAACAACAGGATTTAATACAATTTGCATATTACTTAGATTGGGAGAGTAATTGATTGCAGTAGTCGGACTGTTAAGTGATCCAATCAAAATGCAGGTGGAGAGCACTATAATTGGTAAGATTTTGATATAAAAAGAAAGCAAAAATACACAGTGCATTTCATATGTGAAGGTAAAGAGTCGGACCATCCACAACTCCAATGGTGGTTGAATCAGGGCCAGCATTGCAGGGGCAACAATTACAATGATCATCCTTCTAGTTGTGTTCCTGCATTGCCACAATCACAATCGCTGTTTCCATAGTTCAAATCCCTTTTTTCGCCATTTGAGTCCTGACTGTGACTTGCAGTTTCTTCCTTGTCATTCCAATCCTCATCTCTATCCTCGTTTTCCATGGCTTCTAATGCCTTCATATATACCCTTTTCTTGTTGTTGTAGCCCTTGTATGTATTTGTTGTTACCATAAACCTGAGGAAATATAGCCCGATTATAGAAATCTATTATACTATGATGGTTTCAGGCAATCTTCCTATTGCTGAAGCCAGCCTCTTTCCACATGATCTCTATTCAGATTTCATAAAACACATGAAAGTTGTGCTTTGCACTCTGCGAACTTGAGTTCACCGGTAAGAATGAAATATATCTAATCATTTTGATAAATTGGATGCAGAAAAAATGGCATGAACTTGTGAGAAACATACAATAGTAGCCGCAAAAGCCAGCATCAGAATTGTAACACTTGTATTTCCCCAGAGACGAGCATTGACTTTGCGTGATTTAGTGCTTTTCTTGCCAGTTTTGCTCTTGATGGCAGATGGCCCAAGGAGAACACATCATAGGGCCTGTTCAACCCATCATGATCAGAAGTGGTGAAGTTGAATCATTGTCAGTAGTTATACCTTTAGAATACAGGGGTGTTGCATATGTCTAGCAAAACAATTGGATCCCAATCATATAGAAATTATTTATCTTTGAGAAGAGCCTCAACTGCGGGTATATATGGCCGTTAAGCTTTGCCATAGAAAAGATCGGTTAGATCCTTGAAGATACAGGTAGGTGCTAGGTCTGCAAGGACACAGACCTGACCTGATTGTTGGAACATATTCCCTAAACTAGTATTTATTAGTATGGGGACCATAATTTCACAACAGAGATAGGATTTACATGTTCTCTAAACCATTTCTGACCTACATAGGGATGCAGCGACTTCGGTAAGAAGTGTCAAATTTCCTCCACCTGTGCCTTGGCCAGAGGATCATTTCTAAGATGGGTGTAGTCCTCCTCCCCCTCCTCCTCCTCCTTCTCCTTGCCCTCCCTTTCTGGCAGCAGTAGGCTATCACTTGCTTTACTAGAATGAATAAGGTGTAAGACTGCGGAATTGACCCACAAGTTAACACATACGGCATATTTCTTCCCAGCCTGGAGAACATTGTGTTTCAGTCCACTTAGAAAATAATACACTTGAAATTGATCATCTCCTTGGACCTCAATCGTTTTGATCAGCCTTGAGAATGTTTCCAACCCATAGATAAACTCCCCAGTACTTGACATCACCAAATGTCGTGATATGCGTGGCATCTGTGTAAGTTTGTACATAAATAATGCCAGTGTTGTTTCCTATATGTGTCTAAATCAAGAATGAGCGTTGTTACTAGTATGCAGGAAAGAGCAATAAAAAACACTTGTAAATTCCACCAGTCATCACCTGAGGAATATTCCTCTCAAAATCTCATGATGCCTTCTTTAGGGTTTGTAATATAATACCTTTCAGGGTATAGCATGATTCTGTTGTGCATTTTCTCATCCTCTAGTATATCCAAGATCACACTGAGAGGATCTTTGAACCGAACTGAATAACTCCGCGTCTCTTGATTCAAAAACAGAATTTTAATAGTCTCCATGACATACTGCGTGAAGTTGAAGTAATAGTTAGATATGTGTATTTTAAAAGCAAAGATGGCAAGGCTTACAGATGAATTTTTGCTCACGGTCAAGGCAGTCGAGACATCACATAAAATGGCATGCATCTCACGAGCTGACTTGAGAGTGACAGCATGATTGTCTGGAGGCTGCAACATCAATATACTATGGATAATCTTAAGCTGATGATTTATGACTGGATCAGGAGCTCCAGTACGAACAAACATTTCTGTTTGCTCAAAGTTGACTCGGGTATGGAACAGATGCCAAGGTGGTGCGAGGTTGTGAGATGCCATTGTTGGAAGGATAGTGAGAGGCTCTTCCTGGCAGGACGGCATGATAATCTCTGGCTGCTTTCCTGAAGCTGGGTGATACTCAACCCAGATTTTGTCCTCGGTCAGAGAAGTTGGCCTGATATGCTAATAGTTGTTTAGAGAAGATTGAGCATCCGAGTCACTGTCTGGTGATGGACCTGAACAAGAGCTGCTTCCATCTGATGAGTTAGGTGCATCATGATGAGATCTATTGAGGCCGTTTGAAGTGAGAGCAAACAGTTCATTCTCAGAAGTGCCTCCAGATGGCCTAGGAGGGAGAACTTGAAGCTCCAATAGCTGTGATATCTGTTACAATTAACATACCAGCACCTACTTACACTTCACTTTTGTACTTCTACTTTTATTTTCCAAGTCACATGACCAGTCATGTGACCATTTACTTTACTTTACATTTTCGACTTTTCATAGTCACATGACCAGTCATGTGACACATCACCTGACCAGTGTCTAGACTCATCATGTGACCGGTCACATGCTAGACATCGGACTTTGAACTTTATTTACAACTGTACAGTACCTCATGTATTTTAGTATATATACAAGAGCAATACATGGGGAAGGACTCAGTGAATCCTCCTGTTGTCTAGCACAACTAACTCACTGCAGCCTAAGGGGTAACCACTCCCCATCATCTTCTTTATAGTGTGTTCCTGTGTGCGCCAGAGTAAATAACTCTTGGTCGTTACAATATCCAGGATGTATCAAATGTGTTACCCTCTATGTTCAGACATTATTCTCTATGTTTTTCTGCACAGCGAACAATTCCATCCAGAACCATGGCATTTACACAAGCTGTGATGTGATGTAATGGCACTCCCAGTCAGTGCGCACTAGAAGTGGGAGTAGCGCTTAAGCCACACTCTTTGTTTTTTTGGGACGTCTACGACGTGCCATGGTATGATGCCAGCATCCTAAGCATGGATGTGAGCCAAAGCCCAAAACCCATGAGGGGTCATGCTGAGTTACTCAGTTCCTGTATTTAAAAAGATCATCAATTGTATCAAACTGGCCTCAACAAAGACCCCAGTACACACCTGAATGATATGCAGATATACAGGGAGGTGGCAAGAGGAACACAATGTTCAGCTGCAGCCCACAACAACAAATAGAGAAGAATGTGGGCTCTTGAATTCCAGCCATCTCCAACTCAGGCTAGGGACGGAGGAACTTGAAGTTGGTGAGTGTCGTAACTGGACCACACACCACTATGATGGAAAGAACTTGGTCATAGCACCAACACTGATGAGACACTGGTGTACTAGTTAGTAAATAATATGGCTTCCATGCACTGCCAGGGCAATGACTTACATGGTCATATCATGTAACATCAGTGTCCAATATGATAAAGACAGGATGAATGTTTGCCATGATACGAAAAAGCAGTCAATGCAAAAACCGGGAAATTCTTTTGGACTTTCTGGCGGTATCTGTGATCGGGTGAACAATGAATCGGTTGAGATATGAATTAAAGAAATCTACCCCTTTTACCCCTCACATTGTCTGTACAGCAATTTACTGAGTCTTACTTACACGTGGTTTGGAGTTTCTGTGGAGGGAGCATTTTGGCTGTGACATAACAAGATACGGGACTGCAGCTTACTGTTATGATAACACAATTTTCGGACCTTTAATTTTCATTCTCCTCTTTAACCTTTTTCTGTAGTTTTCACACACTATGCCATGCGGCACTTTCCCTTTTGTTCAAACTCCTCTTTCTCACGCTACACTGCCTTTTCCTTATTGTTAGATACAACTCTCTCACGCAGTGGAGCTGGTCACATGGGCTGTGCCCCATGACATCATCAGCCACTGCCTCTATCAACTGTACAGTACACATGTACAAGCAACCCTGTAGTAGTATATATACCCTAATAGATCAAGGAGACTCCTCAGCAAGTCCTCCTGTTATATCCTCACAACTAACTTGTTGAAGCCTAAAGGGTAACCACTCCCTCATCATCCTCTCTATAGCTTGTCTGAGTTGTGCACCGGAGTAACAAACTCTTGGTTGTAACACTTACAGTATACACTCATTATTGGCAGCTTAGGCAACTTTTTTGCCAGAATCAATTATATGCTCATTGGCATTTTCCTGATGTATTACAACATGCACAGTAACTTGCAATTATAAACTGTACAGCTCCATGACCTACTATTTAACCAGTGTTAACCTTTTTCCCCTTTGAATGCTTTTATCAGTCTTGTTAAATTTAAAATGTTGATCAAATAATGTGAAGTGTTAAGTTCAAGATGTATTCTGTTTTAATCTGTGTTTAACATGGTCCATTTGATCTGATCTAATATTTATCTATCAGTCCACTTGCAATTCCTGTTGCCTCATGTTGGACAGTGATTGGCAGCAGGAGAATGACAGTGCTACTGGGAAATATCTCAACAACACTAAAAGCAAGCAAAGGCTAACAAACCAGCACCTGACAAGTCTCCAAGCAAGAAGAGTAGCTCCGGCTTGGATATGCTCTACAACAACCAAACTGCGGCTTGTATGGTTCTGGGGATATCTCGAAGAACTTCACTAATTACACCTATGCACACTTTTTGAAGTGGTTTCAGTACAAATATCGTAAAATCTTGTGTCTTATCTAATATTGAGTTGGGGACTGGCGCCGGCGCCGCTACGATCTCTAATCCGCGAGTCTGAAAGCGCCAGAACAAGTCGGCCTTCAAGGCAATCTGCTGAATCGCCATCAATGGAATGAATTAGTTTTTCCATGACTTCTGAATGTCGAGCGAGCGGGCCTTGGTGCACGAGGAAATAGGATGGTCCGGTGAGGAGCACGAGGTTTCCTTCGTTGAAACAAAGATCTGAGTGTCGACCTGGAATGCTTTTCAGAGACTGGGAGTGGCGGTTCGGGCTGGATTCATTGATATAGACCATCTCGATGGTGTTCGTATTCAGAACGAAGGCAGCGGGACCACTTCGGTCGTTGCACCCAGGATACTTCAAGTTGTCCCTGGACCTAAGGGGATTTAATGCGTTTAAGTTTGTCTCGTTGGTGGCGCTATGCTATCGTGAGAATGAACTGGAGGTCTGTTTCTGTTAGATCTCTTGCCGAATCGTCACTATATATGATTTCCCGCTGTTCAGCTTCTTCTCCAATCAGCGCAGGTTTTCGCTCGCAGGCATCAAAAGCCGGTGTTCAACAATGACACGATATCAACCTTATACAGACCCAACTGATCAACAATACACACGCTACTGCCCCATGATTCGGTTTATCTGGCGCTAACTTGTAAGGATGGCGACCTAAACAAGCACGGAAAGCTTGATCGTTGCGCCGTGAGTGGAGACATTGTAAGCCGCACGTGTCGTTGACAGATTTACAAGCTATGCTCAAAGCCAATAGCGAGTTATCTATTATACGGAGCTGACTAGAGGTTCTCGCTTTCCTCCCCTTTCCACCCCCCCATCTCACATGTCGCTGTGAAATTCGCTGGCCATCGCTTCTAGTGACATACATTCTCAACAGTTCCACTGTGCCTTGGTTTCGTTCTTTTCTTTTTCCCAAATCACCCCCGGAGTCCTAGCTTCCTTCCAAGGTCTGTATTTTTACTTTCTTGTCCTTTATCCAAAAGCGATACACGTGTTATCTTCTCGCGATCAAGTAACCATTCGTCGACATGGGCAGAGAAATTGCCCATTGAACCATGAGATATAGTATCATACGATCCATGTGTTGTGTTTCTGTGTTTTCTTGTTCTTTTGAGAACATAATTCACTGCTACAATAGCCAGTTACGTTATTTTCCCTCATCTTTCAACCGGCGTGCCGACAAATAAGGTCAGAGAGCATAATCTAATGAATGTTCTGTCTTTTGCTTTTCTAGACTCTTCCTTCACCTATGCCTTCTGTCACCACCCTCATTGATGACAAGGTTCCCCTCATAAAGTACGACAACACATGGGAACCAGGTACATCTACGGACGACCCGCTGGCTGACGGGTATGCTTATATTGTCCGGTTAAGCAGCAGTTCTCAATGAAATTGGCGTATTCTGTATTGCAGGTATTATCTCGGTACATTCACCACTAACAATGTCACCAATGGCGCCGTAACGTGGTCTTTTAACGGAACTGCATTCTGGATATATGGTGCCAAACGAACTAACCATGGCACCTATACCGTCACTGTGGATGGCGCAAGCTATGCCAACATCGACGGATATTCTGCCGTCAATCTTTTTCAACAAGTACTCTTTAACAAGAGTGAACTTACCCAGGGAATGCATACTATCGGATTAACAAACACGGGGACGGGGTCTCTATACGTAGACATTGATTTGGTTCGTCCGTCAATCTTCTTTGGTAAATGACCCAGAAAATTCATTCTTCTTTTACAGATTGTGTGGCAGTCTGAGGTTGGAGGAGCGGACGATCAGTTGGTAACTCAAACGGTACAAGATACAGACCCCGGTTTCCAGTATCAGGCTCCTGCATGGAATACAAATCCACCTAGTGTCAATTTTTTCAACAATGGCACCGGCCAGTGAGCTATTTCCAGAAAATTTGTATTCTTTCCCAGTTGACATGGTTTCCAGCTCCACTAGTACTTATAATGCCAGTGTTACCTACACTTTCACCGTGAGCAGTGGCCATTTTTCCCAGCGAGTAACTGATCTGATTTTATTTCGTAGGGTGAGATGCCATTGCTTGAGAGTTGTTATCCTGACTGAACAGATCTCACGGTGTAGGTGATGTGATATCTCTATACGGCACTGTCGGGCCGCAAAACGGACCATATTCTGTGCAACTGGACGGAGGAGGAGCTGAGACATTCAACGCCACTGCATTCATGTACTATCCGCAGACCATGCTATACCATGCCGATAATCTTGGATCAGGGAGTCATCAACTCACAGTTACGAATCTCCCTGCGCAGAACGGTCAATATTTGAATATTGACTATGCTGAGGTCTTGACGTTGTCTAGGTACGTGTTTGAAGATATTTATTTTTGACTCGTGGGTTTTGATAATCTGATTGCGCCCAGTAACTCAAACTCTCAGCCAAGCCCCCAGCCAAGGTAAATGATATGTCATGTGACATCGTACCGTGAAAACTTATCAAACATACAGCACTGTAGACGCTGCCAGCACCTCAAGGTATGTCAATTCAAAGTATTGTTGGCGTTTATTTGAATTTTCGTGGGACCTATAGTAAAATTGGTGTTGGACCCACCGTTGGAATCGTGATACCTGCCGTCGTCGCTGTTGCTGCTCTTATTGTTGCTGTTATATTCTACCGTCGATGGAGAGCCGCGCAAATATTTATACGGCATCATGATATTTACAGGATAGACAGCAGCCCTCGACATAACGCAGGTCCAGCACCCATGGTCTCAGTGCAGCCTACACCTCTTGACACGAGCGAAACCAGCATCATCAGGGTTGATCCTATGTCAACCACGGGTTTGAGTACACGCAGGTCGTATCAACATTTAGACCATGGACGTCAGCTTGCACAGGCTTCGCAGCCACAACGGCCACCACCGCAGGCAACGTCGGCAACTCATAATCGTGCTATATCAGATGTTACTCAGGATTCTCACGTCCCATTTAGTGACGTCTCGATTATCGCCAGTTTGGCTAGCACCCAACAGTTATCGTCAAACGGCACGGTGAGAATTTACAGCCTTCTGAGAATGATGAGAATGATGGGGGATGACCTCAACTTTTATGATAAATCTAGCTTTTAGATACTCGTCGTCTCCTAACAGTACCTATCCCTGGATTCGAGGACAAGGATCCATCTTCATCATCAGTAGTTGTCGGACGACCGACAGTACCGCAACATAGCCGGACCTTGCGGGACGATAGGACGAATGATAGTATGGTGGATGGTGAAATGCCCCCACCGAACTATCGTCAAGCTACAAGCTGAGGGCATATTTTCAGCTCGATGAAGCAGACTTGATTACATACATGTCAAATTTGATCATAGTACTCATGGCTAAAGTTGACAATCTTTTAGAAAAAGAAAGAGTTAAGTTATGGAGATTTTGAGTAGCACAACTCTGCATACTATACATCAGGAAACTGTGGAGACCTGGGGAGAACCTATACCCAGGCGAAGTTGATAATCAATTGCCAACATGTCATACTGGGATAGTGGCCTACAAGACCTTTGCAACTGCATGCAGCAGACGCGTGCATGACCGGACGCGCGTATTGTTTACTGTTGTTTTTCGCAGTGCTACCATCTAGCCTATACACCACAGGCAAGAAACCGTGGCGGCTAGTTTGATGCCACAGAGGTCATGCGCGTCAACCTAATAATCTCGGCCTGTGAGCCCGACCACCCAAAACGCCGCCTGTTGTTAAAGACAAAAGACTATGCCAGTTAGAGCTTGACAATACTGAGCTTATGACTGGTAGAGCAGACAATTTGATGTCGTGAATCAATCATCTAGTTAGGTTTTACTTTAGCTGGCTCCAGACGAGTTTATTTGGACGATGATGCATCGAAGAACTTCTAGTTCTGACCCTCAAATTCAAAGCTTCCAGGCTGCAAATTTTGAGATTATATACAGCGTGCTTTCTACGGACATAGAACGTCCTGGATTATTTAAATCGTATTGTATGTACTAAGTTGTGGGTTGGTGATGACCTATTTTTTACAAAGGTGAAATCCGGCATGCCAGCTGCACATAAGACAGACTTGTTTAGCATGGAGATTTCTACGAGCATTCATGTTGCACCCTGGCTACTTCATCATGCGAATACATAATAGCAGCTTGTGCGCTTGTTTCCCTGTTTTTTCGGTTTTGGCTGTGAGTTTGTGACGACTGTCACCCGACTGGTACACAAAATTACTGTTATTCGCTGCTCTGCGCTGGTCGCTGCGCTATAGCTTCCGGCGCCTGCACTCATCTTTGAGGTGGAGCTTTGGTGGAGCTATGTGTGTGCTGTGTAAGAGCTTATCGGGATCCTGCGCTGCGTTGTTAAAGACAAATGGGACGACTGAATTTCGTTTCAACACTAGCAATATTCCTTGTAATGCCTACTCATGTGCTACTTCTAGCTCTAAAAACTCCCTCAGACCGCTTCGTAACAGTTCCTTTGTGTATGCCCATAACACCGAAATAAATTCCATCAAATATTTAAAGAAAGCGACGGTGGTCATCCGCTGGTTCATACAAAGTTAATGGGTGGCATATAGGCGTAGAGGCATACATACTAGCAGTTGTAATTTCACTTCCATAGAGGTGCTGTCGCGATAGAACGCATACGTGGCCACGATGAGAGCAATACCTCCCAAGATATAAAACTGGAGCTCTCGAACATTTTCCTCGACATTGGCATAGATGTAGAATTTCTGTTAAGTCAAGTCATTGAAATTAGTGATTATATGACAGATCATTTTTGCGATAGACAAACTCACCCATGTGCTTGTCAATGAATCAAGCAATGACTCCCGGGCATCCGAAGCTACAATCCATAGATACATGACTAACGGGCTCGAGAACACAAGAGGTAACATACTGAGCTGTGCTTTCCATATTCTGATGTAAGTTGACTCGCTTTTTTCAGCGGCAGCGGCAGCAATGTAACCAGTGGTCCGATATTGTTTAGCCTAAACAAAGTGAACATATAGTTATCACGCACGTATAAAAATGAGAGGTACGTACACAAATAATCTGAATCAAGTCATCTACTGCCCATCAAAAAGAATCCTCTGCCAAAAATCATAAGAGTGGCGTACCTTCATGAGTGAGAGTTTGAATAAGGTCTCCCGTCTTAGTTTCCCAAAGGGGTACGTTTCCACGGGGGGCACCAGATAGGACGACTTGACCATTGTGGGTAAACGCAACTTCAAGCGGTACATTCCTAGTAGCGTCAGAAACATATTTGAAAGATTGCTTTAACTTGGATTGTCCCAGAGGGTAAAGTTCGATTGCTCCTGAAAGATTTGACAGCAATAAAGTCCGACAGTTGGGCGACAATGCTGAAAAACCGCTATTTACGGGAGGTACTCGTGCACTGTGATATAGTCACATTAAAAAGAAAGCTTACATGTAACCGTGGTCGTGTTCAGGTTCAATCTGCCAAAGGCGCGCATGACTATCGACATCCCAGCAACTGTGTTGTAATAAATCTGAATAGACTCAAATAGATGGAGATGAGATGAATAGACCTACATCACCCCATGATTTAAGTACGATACAACGAGTCGAGCTCCATATTTCAAAAAATGCAATGACCGTGGCCTGATTCGGTTGTCACTACGTTCTTCGTTGAATTTTCCCGGCTTTGGGAGAAGATTGTAAGTAGCGTATCTTTCTATAAACATGTCAGATTGATAGCATCAATGTGAGAAAGTCCATTAACCTACCGTGCGATATATCTCGAGCAATATGCACTTCAGGACCTACTCCGGCAGCGAGGGTGCCATGGGAAGCATCGAATGCGAGACAATATACCGGAGCCTCTGTACCAAAGAGGATCTTTTGACTGCCAGCCTTACTCTACAATAGAATCGGCATTTTCAGCAATACCGTCGCCATCACGAGTCGATTCAATTCGTACCTTAAAATCATTTATAAAACCTGCTACACCATCCTCACAGCCAAACACGAGCGCACCACGCCTCCTGGGATCCCAAGCTAACGAGAGCACTGGACTGTTCATCGTTACTTGGCACAAAGAAATACCTTTCATTACATCCCATATAACAAGTTTCGCATCATCCCCACCACTGGCTATGTAATTCCCCGAAGGTGAGAAAGCCATGCAATTGACGGTATCTTGATGGCCATCGGTGAGATCATGAAGGCGAAAATATGGGCTTTTAAGAGAAGTCATTGAGATATCATACACCTGACCAGGCGCGCTGTCATGCACAGTAAAACGAGTATAATGCTTAGGTAAGCTTCCATTGCGGATCCGCGGATCAGCACGAATCGCGCCCACATGCATTTCGCTGCATCAGCATTCTGCGTTTATCACGATGGATTTGAGGCGTTACGAGCTTCAATGGTCATTTACAGGCCATACTCAACCCATCAATGTGCTGAAGTTCTCCGAAGATGGAACGGAGCTTGCCAGTGGAGGTAGGCTATCTATAAGCCAATATCGATTTGAATGGGAACTGACATATTGGCCGTTCTTAGCAGATGACGGCCATATTCGAATATGGTCCCTGACAGCTGGCAAGCTTAAGCAAATTATCAAACCAAAACAAGGTCCAATCTCGTGTTTACTCTGGTTTTCATTTCCTCAGGCCCCTCGTGACTCGTACATAATGTCTGGGGGTGCAGATGGAACCATTAAGATGTGGCAGAAGTTTGAATCCGCTGACTCTGTTCGTCGATTTTCAATTTTATATATGATTATGTAGGTACTTATTACCAAAGTCTAGGTTGAGTTCGTTTTTTCCACCATGATAACTGTGTACGATGGTTGCATTGAAAGCATGTCAATGAATAACGCACAAAGTCTACTTGCTGTGGTAGGTCTGGGGCGCCTTACACTGTATGCTATGGACATAAATCAGATTGGTAAGGTCATATCATTCTCCAGCTCCGCACTCCTGACGTTGTTGTAGTACCACTCCGGGAGATTCTTTCAGAACCCCCACAAGCAGAGGCACCTCGACCAGCACTGGCGAGATGTGTTCATTTTTTTGACGAAGACCGCGCGATCATGGTTGCCTTTCTTGACTCCAAAGAAATGTCATTATATTCGTTTGGAGTATTTTGTATGTGCTGACGTTAATGGTAGTATAGCGTGGACAATTGCTCCATGGAAGAAGTGCTGGTATGTTAAATTGCATTCGCGAATGTGAGTAGTCTTTTGGGCTTGATATTCGAGTCCGCCATAGTCAAATAATTGGTTTATCTCTTCAGCGGTAATACTTCGTGGTGGCCTGCCACTAGATCTCTTCTAGTCTCGAATCTCGTCGACGGTGTCGACATATATCGTATAACCGACCGACCAACCTTTATTTGCAAGTTACCTGTACGCATCACACGTAATTATACCAAGCAAGTTCATTTTGGATGGAACGGGGCCTTGGCTGTATGTGGTAGCGATAGGGGAGAAGTCTACCTGTGGGAAGTAGAGTCTGGAACTCCACATCAAGTTCTCGTCCATGGGGGAGGTCAGTATTTTGTTCTGTTACGTCAGACTTACTGATGATCAGGTTCTCAGAAACCGAGTTAATTCAAGCTGTCTCTGTGAGTCTTTTTAATACACCGCACGACATGTTTTGTTGAAATTTTATTAATATTTTTACTTGTCATTTAATGCAGTGCTGCTCGCCTTCGAAAAAGAAACATATGCTAGCAAGCGGTTCAACGGATGCTGGCAACTGTCGTCCCTCCATCAAAGTCTGGGTAGCCTCTACTACCAGTAGTCATATTACACCTAAGGATATAAAGGTGATAGATAACTCGACTACATCGACGAGAAGAGTCCCTACCACTACCATGAATGTATGGATACGCTGTATCCTTGTTTCTGTGTTCTTCATTTTTCCTGCTGCTGTGGCGGTATTTGCCTATTGTTACTTATCCATGACAACAACTTGATTTACACCTCTATGTACATTGTAGATGGGGTGGACATAGTGACGAGGGGGCGGCCAGACATGACGGAAATCAAGGCCAATTGACGTGTTTTACCAAATATTCGGACTTGAAAGCAATTTACACTCAAAGCGGAGATCTAAGTACTGTGATGTAGAAAGATGGCATTGACTGATTCATTAAGAAACACTAGGAGCAATGCCTCACCTTCTATGTCAAATCTGCGATCTACCTGTTCTTGCGAAATCCCAGATATCTGTGACACCCTGTAGTAAGCGTTTGTGTCCTTTGTGCTTGAGCATAGTCCTCACCTTTTGTTAGATCATATTTTCTGCCGATTATGCATCGAAAAACATGTCGAACTAGACGATGCATGTCCAAACTGTGGTCACAAGCCGCTGAGCAAGAATTCCTTGAAAGTTATATATGTTACAGGGAACGAGGACACTATTGACACAAAAATGATGGAAATCGCCATGCAGTGAGTTTGTGTTTATGTTTCTCCATAACATCTACATTGGTAACAAACGTTAAACAGAGCCAGTATTGGATCCAAGTCCTCGCAGGGCGGAACTTCCCTGGAGGATCTCAAAGCGAGGCGTGCTACGCTTGAAACAGAACGAATGGGAAATACTCGTATCATTGACAACCTACAAAGTCAGCTCGAAGCCTCTCGTGTGCTGGAACAAGAAGCTCACACGCAACAAACAAATCTGGACAGGACATTACAAGAACTTCGCGTCAAGCATTCGCAGCTGCAGGAGGCTTTGGAAGGTACTAAAAACCAGGTATATTTCAATCAATATCCTACTTCAACGATCGTCTTCAGTTTTATTCTGTAGCGAGGCAGGCGAACCTGAGTTCACTCCACTGGTATATTGGACAGTATTGTAATGGTACTTTGGTGAGACCAGTCAGATAGTAAGATTTGAGCGTTCATAGTATATTTTTATGAGATGTCTGTCACGCTCGTATAATGAAAATGAGAAGTATATGTTATCCAGAATACCAGTAATTGAAGGCCTGAAGGCTTGTTGTCGAGCGTAAGTTATAAAGAACGCAGCTATGTACTATCATACTGTGACGAGAACTACCGGTACATAATATATTCAGAATACTAGATATATCTGTTCTACCTCCTACACTATAAATCTCCTTCATCATCTGAATTGTCGACTACATCATATAGGGCTTCTGTGAAATCTTCAGTGTCATCATCAGTGGTATCGACGGATTGCTGCCGCGTCTCACTATCTTCTCTCCAAAGCACCGACTCACTCATGCCTCCAGGTTCTTGAGACGCAAGTAGTATAGGACTTCTGAAAAACTGAACCGGTTGCTCAGTGACCTCTGTGCTGACTGTAAAATTTGCAAGGGTGGGCGTTGGAGAATTAGTTTCAAGTGTTTCTTGGGTGGCACCGGCTAGGTTTGATGAATCACAGGGAGTATGCTGGCTTGACAGTGGTGATAGTTTTTTAGGACTAGGAGGTATAGATTGGGGTGTTGGCGTGAGGTGGGCTGCCGATTCCATCAGCAAGGAACCATCGACACCTTGATCTGACAGTGGTGGCACAGTTTCTTGCATTGATTCGTGGCCCAGATTGGAGTCTGAGAATGGAAAGGATGTTGGATACTCGACATGAGATTGAACAGGGTCTGTTTCTGGAAAGGAAAATAAGAAAGGTGTTTTGCTAAGCTGCCTTCGCGATGTGAGTTTATGTATAGGTCTCGAGCTGGAGACCGAGGCTGGAGCCGCGAGATCACTTGGCAGTACACCAAACGAGAATTGTGCACAGTCTGCGTGTGTGGAACCAGCAGCAACACTTTGTACCGGCGGCGGCATGCCAGTATGCTGCGTGGTAAAGTTTGATGTTGCTACGGGCTGATCGGTCCCCACTCTGAAAACATGATGTTGTTCCTTCATCTCCAATTTCTTTATCTCTTCGTTGTCCAAGGAAGCCAGCCATTCTGGCTTATAGCAATTGCACGGAAGGCCGGGCGGGGCCACAGATTTTAAATTAACCATATCAGAGTGTTTCCTGTGCCTAGGTTGCTGCCCTCGAATCGCACGGTGTCCAATCCTCGGCTCGCGTCGACGTTGTATGACAGTATCGAGATTGTGCATGAATCTAGACAAGTCGTCGCTGCGCCACGCTGGAGTAATCCGGACAAAGGATTTGTGCGAGTGAACGCTAGCTTCTTCGGCATGGGGGTCGTCTTGGTCGTCGGGACCTTCTGGTTCGGATTCATCTGAGCTCACGGCCTGTGATCCCATATTTTTCATAAGGTCGATATGATGTGCCATATAGCTCTCTTGCAAGACCACTTTGAGCCGGGCATTGAATAGCTACATAGATAACGTCAGCGCAAGACATAGTACAATCAAGTCAATTGAATCATTTACCCGTGTTTTCCTAGTACTCCTCGAAGAGTTCTGTAGCTGCTGAAGTCGCTTTGAAATTGACGGATGTGTTACAAAAGCTCGGTATTCCCCTTTGACGTGCTTGAGGTGAAGGTAGAGGGAGAGCTCGATGTACTCAATTGGAAGATACTTTTCGGGGATCTGAGGATAAGAATACCAACGATCCGTCACAACAGAGTGCCGGAAATGTTTCGCAAACACGTTGATACAGTGACGGTTGAATGGTGAATTCCGAGACCTAGACAGGTCGATTCGAAACGTTTCTGGGGAAACTAGGATCCTTCCAGGGGCATGTATCTCATACAATTCATTTTCTTGGTCGGTTGGGGGGGGGTGAATGCGCCTTAGATGCGGATACCCTTCTATCTTCAGAAGATGTAAGAGATGTCTTTTGATTTTTTGCTATGAAATGGCAGAGATTAGTTAGCATGATGGGTGAGGAATCATCAAATATATGTACTCGAAAGTTAACGTGTTCCGGCTCTTTGGAGTAGGGATCGATAGGAATAGGCTTTTTTGGTGTATTCCGACGTGAACCTGAAATATGAGCTCCTGACTGGGATGTAGCAGGAAATGATGCCGACTGTCCCTGACTTGCTGCCTGTCGCTGCGCCCGTATTTCTAAGCGTAATTGTTTCATTTCTTCGGCATTCTGTTCAATCCCCGACTTCAACGTGTGTGTTACGACTGCAAAGTTCCGGGATAGCGAACCAAACATAGCGCCAAGGGCGCCACTGGCCTCATCGTGGGTGTCAGTATTGTGCGGTATGTTGCCTTGATGTGGCCATGAGCTACTAAGTGGCTGTAAATGAATATACACCGACGAATCAGCCAGTGATTCACAAGCAATAAGAGATCCTCCTACTGGTAGATTGTCTACTAATACTTTCTCCTTATCGCGTCGAGCACGCTCTTGTCCTATCTAAGGGGGGTTAAGTGGGTAATACATTAAAGATCACAAGGCCACAAATGATTCACTTACTTCTGCTAAAAGAGTATCCCATCCTTGGTTTGCTGAAGGAACATGAGCATCAGCTTGCACTGGGTGACCCTAAAAAAACGTTGATGGGAATTATGAACATCTGAATCTTGGCAGAAGTGAGAGAAAAGACATCTACCTGTTGATAGCTCAGCGGATTTGGGATTGTACTTGTACTCGGCTGAAAAGTGAAAGACGACGGCTCTACGACAGTACCTGAGAAGCTGTTTCTTTGAGTTAAGGTATTACTTGAGGTGGCGAATCTCGTGTTGGCTGGATTCTGAGTAGGCCGATGTGATGGGGGAATTAGGCTGGTAGGCAGTGTCTCCGGAAGGGGTTTCCCAGTTGATGCCTCCTCAATCAGGTGCAATGTGAGTATAATAGATTCGCAGTCGAGTGTCTCTTGCTTTTTGAGGTTGACTAAATTTCTGGATAACCAAAAAAAAGTAAGTTTTCGTTATGACAAAGCAAACTCGGTAACAAAGGATTCTTACGCGACCCGAGTCACAACAGATAACGGCACATTACTACTGAGTAGGTTCGAGATGAGAGTGTCCTTTCGTACAAGTCCAGTTTTCTCGAAATCGAGGCTCTTGAACCAGTTTTCGGCTCTCACTCTGGTAGACGGATCAATAGGCCAGGTTGAGGTATCAGAATGGTGGCTGGACTTCACATGGGACAGGGGGGCTCTTGACGTGATATACATTACGGGCGGTAAAGTTGTCGGAACCGTTTTCAAGCGACCACTCGATAATAAATTTGCCAAATGGACGGCAATGCAGAAGTCGTCGCTATCCAAAGTGTTACAATTCTGAGTGTCCGCAAGCCCACTAATGAAATCAGACCCAAGTAAGAATTGGCATTTTGAGATAAATGAAATTATATCAAACCGACCAAATTTGTAGGAGTAGTTCTGAAGATAATCTCGACTCTGACAAATATTTCCATGCCTGTCCCACTAAATGAAGTACTGTTAGCGTAAGCAACTCTATTACATAAGCGAACATCTAACTGACTATTGATGGTACCATTTTTTGCCCCTAATTTCTCGAAGTAACCTATAAACTGCCTTTTGGCTTCTGGTTGTATAACCCACATGTTAGTATCGGCTGCTTCCAGGCTATTACCATACAAGGCGCTAGGCTGAGCTATCCTGCCGGCTCGTTCTGTTTGTTGCTGCTGAACTGGTTGAAGACTTGTGAAAGCCCCATTCACCACCGAAGCATGAGATGCGAAACGGACCCCTACCTTGTGAGAATCGTAAGTGGTAGCAAAGAAGAAAGAATCGCCATCACCTACCTGTCTTACTTGTGATGATGGATCTGATAATGAGGATGCCGCTGGTTCTTTCAACTTTCCCGTATTGTTGACGCTGACAGCGGGTGGGGCACCATACAAGATATCCTAAGGACGGTTTGAATAGATAATACACTGCAAAAGCATTAGCAAACTCACCTGCATTTGGATATGAGACGGTGTACGAGGAAGGCTAGGTCGAGAGCGATTGTCTCTTTGACCAATGGCTTGTCGCTGGTGGTTATCCTGAGGTGTCTGACTGAGCAGGGAGGTTCGTTCCATGTTAACGTCAACCGAGACGTAACTATTTATTAAGAACAAAGCTTAAGGGAAGTGTCTAACCACTTGCTGAGAGCTATCAGGGACTGGAACTAGAGTCCAATGTGAGTAACTGTATTATTAGAGAGTATAACAGGTATACAGTATCTAGAGTCCAATGTGAGTAACTAGAGAATAGGAAGCATTGGACTCTGCAGTACTGTCCGATGTTTTGTAAACAAAGGTAAACAAAGCAGCCACAAAGGCGAAATAATAGAGAACACAATCAATAGTGAATGGTAGAGGGATAGATAGAAAAAGGAATGAAAATATAGAGGTAGCACAAAGGTGCAGAATCACCAAAACTAACACTATTTTCTTGCGCCCCATGCCCTTGATGATTCCATGCTGAACACATGTAAAGAATTAGAAGTAAATATAGCGCTAGTCATCCTCTTACCAGATGTTGTTGAGTTGGCTTCTGCAGGACGACCGGTGGATGTTGACGTAGTAATGTGAAAGTCCGGCATCTAATATAAAATTAATACGCGCATTGTCTCATTGATACTGGAAGAAATCAAAAAAGCAACTCACCAGTATATCCCGATGAGTTGAAGATTGTATTTCACTAGTCATCGCAATGACTGCATTGTCGGCGGTACTTGCGGTTTGTTGAGCTGATGGCTGAGAAGGGACAGGATACATCTGGATTGGTAAAGTTTAATACAGGCCCTATAACTTCATACTTACTTGAAGCAATTCCTGCAGGGTCGAAGGAGTCGACCTTGTTTCTCCTCCTGACATAGCGGGAATCTGGGTGGCATCTTTGATAGTCTGTAGGAATACACAATAGATACACAATAGCATCAGACATGATCCCAATTATATACTAATAAGTACTTACTTGCGGTGGTGCATTGGGTGCATTGTTAGTGGAAGATTGTCCCATGCCAGTGATTTGCTTCCAGACTGTGCGAACATTATCTACGATGGATGAGGGATTCTTCGAGGAGGCCACATGTGAGAGCTATGGATTAAAAGAAAAATTGTGTTTACCTCGGGAGCCTCCACCATATCAACATCTTTGGCGATGGGCGTCTGATCCGAAGCTTCAACATCCCTTTGTCTATTTTTCGATTGACGTTCCATAGCTCGTTCTGCAAAAAGTCGAAGGATACGCGGCCTTCTGGATGGTTCTGGCGGCGGAGAGGGTGGTTCCTTATGCCAAAGGTCAGTTGTTTTATTTTGATGTAGATGTGTTATCATTCTCACCTCTTGTAGCAACGAATCTTCTTGATGTTTCCTCGATTTCAGCGCGTGGAAGCTCTGTCGCCAGTCTTCTCCAGGACCACGCTTTCCGAGAACATTAATGAGGTCATTGTGTGAGTCTGTCAAAGTGTTCGCGTTCGCCGTGGAGGATGACTCGGACGAGTTACTGTGAGATATTGGTATCGACATGAATAATGGGGAATGGGGAATAATCCAGATAGTGGTAAACTCACCACAGTTCACAGTTCTAATATATTGTGTGCTGCCTCATGGTCGATCGACGAACAAAGGATTTGGCGCTGCAAAGGATGGATATATACAGAAATCGTCTGAGTTACGAATGGTCCATTTATGGCAATTGCTAGTATGTAGAACGATAATGTTATCAATGCAGCCTGAGAGTACTCACCATCAGCATATCATTACTCTGCCACAGATCTGGGTACTACATGCATGGTATGTTACAAGCTAGATATGCTTTGCCACCCACTGCATCGATCATCACATCGATAACGCTTATTGAGGCTTGCACCTACAGACTCATGCCTTTTCTGACTTTAAATTGATGAAACACTCCGATTCATCAGCTCTCAATCACACTTTCATCTCAACCTTTGGCATGTCATAATTTCATGTCCGACACGAACAAGTCGGCTAAGCTTAGTCACTGGCAAACCCACCAGGTGCCATCAATCAGCACTCCGCAGCTGGCTGCTGCCAGTGCCAACACCGGCTGTGCACCGGCTGCACCACCCCCTTAAGACTCGCCAAACGACGCCGACGCCTTCTAGGACACTAATAGAGGTTGCACCGTATAAGTGCCATTGCGTATGTACAGCATCCATACTGATTTCAGAATGCCTAGCTAGTAGCTAACTCAGCTTGATCAATGGCCTTTGTTCTGCGCACGTGCATGTATAGCAACATTTATGCCTCGACACTCTCAGTATTTTCCTCCCTTGATTAATCGTCGATTATTCAGCCCAGAAAGAAGTCCGAGTCCTGATGCTAGGGAAACCACCAATAGAACGATGTACCCGCTTCCGCGATTCAAACTAGGCGACTCAAATTCAAGTTTGGATGTAGCCGAGCATTTGCATATTCTCGATACTGTAATTTTCTGTAGTGAAGATGATGTGAACCTCCCCTGCGCACCTTTCCCGGAGAATAATATTGATGTAGAACGCCTGAGCGACAGGCCAAAGAACTCGGACCATGTAATTGTAGCCCCCACCCGTACACCTGATACAGGAGTTAGAATTGCCAATACAAGTAAGTCCACATTCCTCTCTTATTTATTTGAGAGAGGCTCACAATAGACAGACGTGAAAGCAGTAGTCTCGGATCTGCAACAAGTTGTGGGGCAGCAATCTGTTCCTCCCCTTCGATCTATACCTGCTCCGCGAGGGCCCCTTTCAAAGCCTGGATCTGGTGGATACGCACTTTTTGATGAGCTCAAATGGGACAGGTCTACATATACCAACATTCAGGTCAGTGTCCTATCCTAAGCTTTTGACTATCTCCCTCAATCTCGCTATGAACGCAGACAAGTCTGCACGAGCTCTGTCAAGAGCATTTTCAAATTACTCTACCTTATCACGAGCAAGAAGCTGACGCTCGCTTGGTTTTTCTTGCGACGGTAATGGGCTATTTTTCATTATTATCTTGGTTGACACCATTGACCCGTACAGGCCCGCCGTCGCTTTCCAATGCTCGAGGCATATGTAAATACTTGGCCAGCACGAGATTTTGCGACCATGTATCTAAAGAATACCTCCTCTCAGTGGCGAAGGAAGGCCAGAATTGCATGTATATAAGAAATCGTAGGTTATCAGGTAGAACAAGAACAAAGGGTTGGTGTGATCAGAAAATGTAAACAATTGTATCATACAGAAAATAGCATATTACAACCACCCCACAACCAGCAGGGAGCCGCACTATCATTCGCGTTTCGGACGTTTCTGGGACAGGTGTTGTGAAACATAGACAACGTCGCAAATACTGAATAGAACCCACCGAAAGCAAACCAATTCTCGATGCATCGTGTTTACGCTTCCTCGTTGTAGCCTCCACTGGAAGTAGAAACCTTCAGGTTAGAGATTTTCAAGTCAGAAGATCAGAAGGAACAATGCACTGCTCACGATGGATCGACATATTCTCGGTCTGTAAGCGCGAGGAAGTATTGGAAGATTCTGCGTCTGATATCTTCTATTACATGAAGACACTGTTAATAGTGAGACAAAGCTTGAAAAATAGATAAACACACCTCAGATTCTACACGCTCTAGCGCAGCTACTAGCTCACGAATAATGAGAAGTTCTGCTTGAATCGCAATTTGGCGACCAATAAGCACAGTGACAGATGCTTTGCTAGTCGTTTGGGCCGATGACAAGTATTTGAGGTAGTTGAAGATACGTTGGCGTTGACATGCGATGGCTTTCTCAGTGTCGAGAATGCATGATTGAAGCTTGTTGGCCTCGGCTTCGGACTTAGCTTTCTCAGCATTCTGGACATTGATCTCTCTTGGGTGGGTAGGATGATTAGTAGCGAAAAGTAGCGTCACTTGCATAGCAGATACGCTTACCTCCACTTTATTGCGTCAGGGTTCAAGACGTGGTCGTCCTTGGCGAAAAAAAATGCGGCCAATCTCCCATCGGATCGATGAAGGCGTTGGGTTGTGGGGCACTTGAAAGGACATTCCCCCCCTTGTTGGGTGATTTTTTCAATACACGCAACACAGAATACATGGCCTATACAACATGTAGCTTCAAATTCATACTTCTGAGAGACGATGAAAGCAGACTCACCACATGGAATCACCAGAGGTTTGGTACAGGAATCATCTTCGCAAGAGAATTCGTCAAAACAGACGCAACAAGTCGGGCGCATGATTGCTGTACAACCTATAACAAAGGTAAGAAAGAATGGGAAATATCAATAGCGAGAACACTCCCTTTATACTCCTGAGCCACTGATTAATATGCGTAGCATATAACGTGGCAAGCGGAGTACTTACCTTTCGGACATGTATGACGGTGAGTCGAATATCGAGGTCCCAGGATTCAAGCGTTTAGCAGAAGTTTGTGCTGTGAGCACACCTACAAGTATCGCGAAGTTGGGTGTGGCGGTAGGTGCGAAAGGAAAGACGTAGATCGTGGTTGGTTATCATATATTATCCGTACGTACCGTAGAACTGCATGTACAAGCTCAAGTTCAAATTTCATGAAGTGATTGTTGTGCGTCACGCGGAATATCTGAGTCGAAACATTGAAATATCGTTACATATATACAGTAATCGATCACATATCGCATTACCACGGTCACGCCCTATCAATTAATACCCCTCGATTTCCACCTCGACTTCCACCTATCAGCTTGTTTTGGGGGCTCTCCTTAAGACTTCTTAAGACTTTCAAGGTTTAGAGCGTTCGTACGTCGAGATCGCTTTTTTACGCCGCATTGTTAGCAGGTAAATACAATTTCAGTTCTCTCTCTTACCGTGACACACAATAATAATATTATATTCAATTTTGCCTCGTGGACCTGACGTCAAAAATGAGGGAGGACAAAGAAAGATGCATGGTAGAACAACGAAATTCAAAAAGATAAAGGGCGAGTCAGAATTCACCAGTTTCAAGCATACCATTCTTTCCTGGCCCAACAGTTGACGTATCGGACACATCTTACCCATCACGACCTTGCTCTCGATATCATGCCTGCTCTACGGACGCCTATTCTCAGCAAAAAGGTAAGTTTTGTCGTTTTAATGTCACTCACGCCTCGTAAGCTTGGTTCTGAAATTATACGCACTTTGAAGATTCGCTCTGTCTTTGTCAACAGCTTATATTTTCCCGCATCTTCGAAGAAGCATCGTTTTCTGGATGTTGCTGTTCTATCGCCAGTTCCAACTCACGCCGACGCTCGACCCTTTCCCGTCGTTGAGCAGGTTCTTGGAACCAGGTTTCCAATCCATGACGCTTTTGTTGAGGTCACCGACCCACATGGTGTCGCTCAAGAATACCTGGTGTGCTTTCAGTATCACGAACATGCTCCCATCAACAAAGCATTACTTGAACTTTGTCCCCAAATATTTTGGAAAGGAGATATCCTTGTCTTGAAACGAGGCACCAGGAAATGGGTTCGAAGTTTCCGTGGTACCGAAGAGAAGTATTTAGCCAAGTGTGCGGTCGTCCGGTCTGTGCTTTTGTTAACTCAACTTACAGCTTACTCATCGTCATCTGCCATATCTTATTACAGTTTTCTTCAAGTGTCAGCGATACGTCTCAAACATGCAAGAGTGAATGGAGAAGAGGTGCTTTTTCCTATAGACGTGAATTATTGAGATCGTAGTGACGCTGTACATGATTCGTGTATCTCTCTTGGCTCGATAAATATGCACATATGTATATCATGGTATCTAAGGGCATACCAACCATAGCTTGTACAAAGGGTTCTGCCCACGATCTTTCATGATTTTTCAGTACCGTTGAAGGCCTTTTTGACAGTATGGTACCCCTAGGATAGATCAGATCGATCATCATGATCTATGAGATGGACCCCCACACGTGGCCTAGCCCCCCTCGTCACAGACCCCACCGAGCTCGCGAATCAGCATAGCCCAAATTGCCATCCATCAACTTTCGAAGTTTCGGGATCTTGAGAGAAAAATATCGAGTAACTAGTTCTCTCATCTTTTTTGGCTCTTTCTATCCCACAAAAACGGTACTGATTGGGCGCCAAATGCAACAAGGCCCTTTATTGTGATTAACTCATTGACTCTCAAAGGGCTGCACCTACACCAGTCTGCCGGTTCACGGCGAGCGAGTGGCAACAACTCTGGGCTTATATGAAGCGATGATGTAGAGTTGTGATGCTATCGCTCGTGGCTCTCTTTTTCGAAATCATTCAGTTTATTCGCATTATTAGCTGCATCCCCCATTCCTCTCATCCATATAACTCATTTTAGGTATTTCTTCGGTGTACCCATGAAAGAAACACGACCCTCTATTCAATATCGCCTCCGATTTCGCAAGTTTCCCGAAACTCCATACCGTGCCATACTGCGTAGTCTGGAGGATGTACGTATTTCAACATTGCATTGTTCAACTTTCAACGCCAAACAATTCATATATTAGGACATTCCCATTCTACGTCAGCGTTTTCCACTGCAAAAAGTCATGAAAAGGCGAGGTAGTGCGGGGTTCTTTTCAGAATTACCATTGGATGTATGTCAATCGAACAAATTGATGTCATGTCTTATACACTGATTAACTTCTGTTACAGTCCACCCCTATATTACGAGAGAGATTTCCGCTGTTCTCAACGACCACAGAAGTTCAGCATAAAGTGGATACGCTTGCACCATCGAGCTTCTCAGCACCTTTGGATCTTATCTCCGACGATTTACCTGGGCCCATTCCAGATTATTCTCATCTGGCCTCTGCGACAGCCCCACTATTTCCCCCCTCTGATGACTCATCAAGCAGCAGTTGTACATCTGTAGTCACCCCATCTACGCGCCCCTTTTCTCATGATGAGACTTCGAGGTCTCTGTCAACTAGCTCATCCCCGTGCCCTCAAATATTCTCGTACCCATTGGCATCAATGACAGCTATGTACACATTCCCGCCCCCACCTCACTCTAGTGACCAAATCATTCCTTCAACAAAGCCATCCGAGGTGCCCTTGCCTAGTGAATCATTGACAGCCCTCGCCAAAATTAGTGCACAGACATCAGATCTCAGCGTGCATTCTTCTACTGCCAATGGACTCACGCCTGAACAACCGTGTCAGGATTTTTCATCTGAAGAGCATTTGTCTAATGCGAAGGACACTTGCATTGACATTGTCCGAACATCTCACAAAATCAGGAACCTAGAGAAACATATCACAGTCTTCGAATCCAAAGGCAACTGTGCCTTCTCAGTCCCACCACCTGTCGTCTCCTCTCAAACTGGCGATATATTTATCCATAGATATGGGATTAGTGAGAAAATGCAAATCTGGGTTCGGGACTCGAGGTCGAATTGGGGCGATGCTAGCCTTGGTGATACGCACCCGTTTTTATTTGACTATCGCCTCAATATGTCTTCCCAAGGTAAGCTCAGTTGGGTCACCAAGAAAACGGTATCAACGTATCGAGGGCGCGACAGGAAGCGTTCCAGCGGTAAGCTACAATCCAATCGTCCCCGAAGCACCATCTAACCTTCGGCACAGAATGATGTTTTATTCTCACATGAATTTTATATCTAGCTCTGTGCTATTGTAGAGATATGTACAATATACATGTAAATATTGATACCAACCGTTGCTGGGATTTATATATGGCTTTATTGCGATATTGTAAGAGATCGACCCTCAGTGCCCCAAGCTTAGATAGAGCATCGGGTTTCCTCCATGAGGCGAAAATGCTGAGATTGGTAACAACATTAACACGAGGCAAGGACAAAGGCGATTTCGAAAAGGACCGGCCCCCGAAAGAGTGAGCCACCTTGTCTGACAGAGTGAGCCACCTCGTCTGACTATAAAGCAAGCTCTGGCTCTACGACGAATACCTAAGAACAAATCCCTCCTCCCCCAAACCATGTCAGACACGATCCCATCTTACCCCGAATATACTCTGCGTCCTGTTGAACAACAAGATGGCATCGCTTACTATAGTGCAACTAATACTCGAGGATATTCTATCCTCGACAGGAATGGGAACCCCGTCCGCTTCCCATTGCCACCGCTGCCTGTACGTGCAAATGGCACAAGGGTCCCACCAGATGCTGCCATAGTGTGTAGTTAGATAGTCGTTTCTGTGAAAGATTACTGACATTAGCTTAGGTGAGGACAAGGGCAGCTCACAGGCGGATGATTCGGAAAGCTCGTCAAGAAAGGGTACGTCAGAGAGACATTTTGACTGTAATATTGTTGAAATCATTTCTTCGCGCTAAACAGGCCCAGTTCCTCTTTGACCTCTGTTGCTTTACAATTGTTGGGATCATTGTCGCTGTTGTGTTCGTCTTTAAGCCAGAGTGGTTGAATGCCTTCGTAGACATGGTAAATTTGGTAGCTTTCAGT